TAGGATTTTTTCCAGCCTCTTCTGCGTTGCGCCTACTCGCCGAACCTTATACTGTTGGTATCACCGGTCTCGGGAACATCTTTATTTTCGAGCAATGCTCAAATACGTATGCGGCGTTTGCCAGACGTTATCACCATAAATGTGGTCCCAGCAGTTAACAGTTACATGCTGGAAGGACGGTCCGGTCGCAGTTGATATAGAATCGAAGAACTGGGCATTGGGTAATCTATGGATGCCTCTTTGTAGTTGAATAAGGCAGCAGTGATTGTTAGGTCATTAAAGCGAATAGATGCATGATTAAACTTCGTCAGTTTTCGTTTCATTAAGTGAAGTTGTACTGTGGTCGGTCATGCACAGAAGTTCTTATTTTTACTGAACTTTGTCAACCATCACTTTTTCTCCTCAATCAATCGTTTTCGATCACACTAACAAATAAATGCAAATACGTGGTGACATTTGCTTTATGCAATTTCGGGTTATTGTACGGACAACCTACATTCTCTGTTGTCGCTTGCAGACTTTATAACTTGTTGGGGTTTCATCTTTATTGTACAATGCTGTGTACGCTAGCCTCATACGATTGCATTCGATATGTCACGGTGGTACGGGAAACGTCTGCAGTACCTACTCGTCTTCTGGTTGCGCCCGTCCATCAGTTCTTTGTTCCTAAGCTTATGTAATCTGTTATCTAGATCTTAATAATGGGTTGCAATTCACTTCCTCCAATTTGTGTGTCTACTTTCCCATAGAAGAAGAACGTAATTTTTGTTAATCCTGTGCCTATGTTTTCGTCGCATAACGAATATTCTTAGCTATATGTTTTTGCCGCATTATGTCAGACAAAGCAAACACTCCACTTTTAGATACGGCTTTCGGCTTTAGAGCTGAAATTTGTACGTAGGACTTTAAGGGATGAACCAAATGTGTTTTTTCACAGTATTAGTTATCTCTGGAGACCATTTTGCATCTCTTGGGGACCTGATACCAAATCTTTTCTCAAAAGAGGCTACTTTTATAACCTAAAGGACACAGCATTTTGCTTTTTCTGGTCTTCGAAGAAGAAACAGCAAAGTAAGTTTTCAGTTCATCTATTGAGTAAAGAAAGACAGATAACGCTTGACCTGCCTTAGATCCCGTGTGAGAACTCACGACACTCCTTCAGATATCGTCGGGAGTTTGGCTAGCAGCGTTACCGTTTCGACAAACAACAGCGGCGCCGTTGTTGAAGAGCACTCTGTCAGACAAGGTAGCTTTCCTATCAGATGGAATCCTTCCCTGGAATTCACAATATCCCGGTATCTTTCTTACTCCTCTCCTCCCACACCGTTCTCAGCGTGATAAACCCCGCTGCATACACGGGGCTTGAAGTTTCACGGCAATCACACTACTAACACCATGCGTTTCATCACTCGCGTACCTAACGAATTCCGTAAATCGCGCACCTCTAAATCGACTTGAGATGGCTTTTGTAAGAGCCATCAAATTTACATACAAGACCCCTGTTTGCTTACCACGCGGTGAACGCGTTCATCGGCGATCAAACACTACGGCAATCTCAAGTACACTCCCATGTTGGCAACTTATCCTCTGCATAGATTTTTGATTCGAACTTGTGGTCTCTTTGACACAGAACACACAATGTTGTCACTGATTCATAACATCAAATCTCGCGTTTCATAGCTTCAATTGAATGCTGTGAGTGGTATGCTTGTTCCTACCTACGGCTCATGACAGCTAGCGGTTAGCCTGGAAAGTCGACGATAGTATTCTTGGAGATTAATCCTATCATCAGTTCTTACAGGTAGACTCAAGGTCAACCTTTTGCAGTTCTGAGTTGCTGATTGACCCAATTAGACTGCAGTTGATTGATCCTTCACTCTATCTATCTATCCGTATGTATATATGCGTGTGTCACTGGCTTGCGAGCAAGCATGAANTGAACCAAACAACACAACAATAAGAAAAATCACAGGGAATGGCGAATTGATATACTGTACAGAGTGAAATGGAGGTTACACAGTTGCATCAGATAACATTGAATTCCGACATCCCAAAGATCGCTTGAATGTGAATGGAACCACAAGTGGTTTACCAGATCGACTGAACGTGCTCTAAACAGTAATAGAACTNTCCTTTTAGATCAAAATTAACTTATCCACGGGGTCATACTTCCGAATAACTGTGTAACACACATTTGCTAGCGGAATACCGGTCCCTGCTCGATCTCTCCGACTGACACTGGACAAACAGGAACTCGCTAACCTTCAGCTTGACTCTTTACTTTCAAAAAATAGAGTCCCTAAAGTCCGTAGACTTCTCAGTTTCATTTTTTACAACCATATGTACTTCTCACCTACACGTAATTCCTAAAAGACATTATGTAGTGCTCAATACAGTTACTTGATTCGATATTAAGCCTTTTTGACGCACGTCATCTCATATTATGTATGATAATCGCAGGTCAATCCAGTTCGCGCTCATGATGAAATCCCTCATTAAAGATGACTGTTTCGGCAACTCTTTTTAATCCTGTTAAATTCCAGTTTATTTCAGTAGGTTTTAAATATCATCCAAAGTTCTATTCATATCATTATGAGGGACCTGAATTTTATCTCACTATCAATGAGTTACATCAACCGTCTTGGGTGAACATTATTATCATTTCATTTAAAAGAATTCCAATCCTTTAACTCTGAGCATGATCAATGGAAACAAATCTTGCCCTGTAAAGTGATCACGCAAGCACGTATGCAAACCTCTGAGGAAACAGTTCCTACTATCTTCAGAGTATTCATTGTCTTAATCACTTGGAGACTTGAAGAGGTCTGAGAATGTTATCGATGATTCCTGTCTGAAACAGTTTATTGATTAGTACTTTTGTCAACCCTATTCATTGTAATCTACGTCCATTTAACAATTATGAATGTTTTACGAGTAGTGTTTCAACAATCATAATGTTGCCTATCATAGAAGACGCTCCTTATGAATCCTGATCCATCCTCCACGCCAAGTATAGTGACTGAATAGTTTTACGGCAGCATGTTTCCAAAACCTGAACGACCCAAGCCGTTCACTCAATGCGTTACTCTCATAGAAACTTAGTATAGTATTTTTGGT